TTGGTCAGTTTGAATAATCAGCTAATGGGTGCTTGGTCTTCATTTAACAGCCGAGTATAAATAGTCACTGCGACATAGCACCGATTGTCGCAACGTCTGGTTCAATGCACTAAGTGTGTTTACCAACCGCGACGTGTGTTCAGAGTTGTGACCGTGGTTACAAGATGCTGTGCTGCGTGCTCTGTGCAACCATTGACGTGGCGAGAAAGACGAGTTATTTGTAGCACCATGTTTGCATTTCGTAAGGCCTCGATATATGAAAAGTTCTTTTATCGAAGGAAATTATAGTATAATAAATATCAGTAGGATATATAGTGGAGTTAATCAGGCCTAGCAGAGTTCTTGGCCATTCCTGAAACATCGGCCAGGTGATTAAAGGATATTAGTTTGATAGGAGGGTGTATTCAGCTCTTATGCAATTACGTCAAACTCGGAGCAATTTTGGCGGCTGTTGATTCCATTTTTGCTAAATTTCCTCAATTATGTTTAAGAGTTTTGTTTTCGTAATAGCGAATATGAGTGGCGTGGAAGTAATCCCATGACAACTATCACGAAGGTATTTTGGAAATCAGTTAATACGTCGTTGTTCTGCATCCTTTTAAGTGAGCCAAAGGTTGTGAGCGAGGGCATGATATTTTCGTGGACGAAATTTCGACAAGCATGACACACCAGCGTACACAAATATTTTTGTTTAAGTTAGCCAGTTCGCGCAGGAGCCAATCAAAAAGTGGAATTACTACTTGTCAAGAGTAAGGCTCGACTACAGGACGTTGAATGCGATTATTTATTCACCTTTAACCTGTGAAATTCTCATTGTATTTGTGAAATTGAAATTGCAACTATTAACTTGTGCATTTGAGAATTTAGTAAGTTCATGTTTTCTACTAATTAATGGGTATTAAGACAACAATTTTTCTGACGAACGCCTACGTTATTAAACGAAACTTTTATGACACAAGTCATTAAATGGAGTGCGATTTGACTGGCTGGTGTAGGCGTGCGACTATGCCCATGGAAATACGTGATGGGGTGCTATGTTTAAGCAACATCCATCCATTATCCATCTTTACCAAATTATAGACACAAACGGCATTGTTCTGCATATTTTTTTAGCCACCGGTCCTTGCATCTTAAAGAGGAGTGCCCGGACATTTTCTATTGTCATGGTGACAAAAAACTAATAACTTTCACTGCTGCCTTGTTTGGCCCTGAGGGAACAAATTTCGCACGTGCGGCTTTGCGATTTAAATTAAATTTTACACATTCCGGAGAGTCTTATGTGATTGGCTGCTTCACAGAACTGATACATATTTTATGGTGTGCACTTTGTTTAACTGTAGTTGCCTTTTCTGCCCTGTACTTTCTCGATAAATCATATAAACACTCGAATTGCAATTGGTTAGTCTGTCAGACCAAAAAAATCTTTAATTGATAACCACGTCGATAATAATTAGTGCCTGTAAGAAATCACATCGATTTTAGCTTAACGGAGACACAGCATCAGTCGCTTGCATCTTTCTGCACCAACCAAAAATGAGGCCTAATTGGAGATTAATCACAAAATTCTCGTGGACATTTCATGCGCGTTAGTTTTCCATTCGCCACAAGCTGTCTCTGTGTGAATCATACCGACCCAACCTAGATACAAGACGCTGGAATTTGACTCACCAAAGCCACGTTTTTCAGCCTGGTTGGTGGCTCAGGTCCCGAGGACAAACGAGTGATTACAGACGACCAATCAACAACTGGGTTCGAAATGATCCCAGAGACGATGGTAGGCTTAATGTCTGTGGGTGTGTGTGCGTCGATGACAGACACGGCAATGACACATCGCGGAATCCTCAGGCAAACTGGAGAGAACCTGCAATCCTGGTACAAAGAGTAGAAGAGTTACGATTGGGTTGTGGCTAGACGTGACCGATTTCGATTTGGCGATCCAATGCCACCGACGTTTTGAGCAATCAAGACTGACCAATAGGGAGAACAATTTCTCTACTAAGAGAACATCAACCCCACAAGCCGTAGGAGAAGCTCAGTGGACAAAAAATTGAGTTTTATTTTGGCTAGAATAGTGGAATAAGAAGGCGAGAATTCCGTTAAGACAGCCTGTGAAGACGTGCCGATAACCAAAAACACAATCAGCGAACCCAAACGCAAGTCCCACGTTTCCAGTCCAAGACACGTTCGCGAACAAAGTGGATTAATGCCAAAATGAGCTGTATGCGTGGACCAAGAGGTGTGTTGTAGAAAAGAGAAAAGTGTTAACTGAGCTATTACCAATCTCAATTTTTACGAAAAAATTTGTCATGTGGAATATTGACTTGCCCAAAGAAGCCAAAATTTATGGCCTTCCCATAAAGTACGATTTTTTGGAGGGCAAACCTGTGTGGTACCGGTGCCTTACACACTTTAAAAGAAAATAATTTTTAAGCCACGCGCACAGATGAGATACAATTGATTTTATGACGACAGCGGTTGCGTCCAATTGGTCAAATTACTGTCAGGGAAAATGCAATGATTGGGGACATATTTCAATGAAACAAAATGGACCAAAGTCAGTAATTGAGGCGCAGCGGATTTTATTCTACAAGTAAGCGAGTCCTTGTGCACAAATTAAGCCCCTACAAAGTAGTCCTGTTTTAGGAATAAATGGGCAAGCGGAAAACAATGTTGTTTACTGGCTTTGTTTTGGTCCTCTCGGTACAGTGTGTCACCAAAGAGACAATTGTCTTGAAAACCCGTCATACCACCACCTTGATGTCAGTCAAATTTCGTGTCCTTACGTGGCCCTTTCAATTTCTTTCGCACGATTCCGCGAATGTATTCACGCAAGTGTGTTTTACACACAAACCCACATGGCAGACTATATTACCAGATTCTGCCAAAAATATTCGACTGTTGACTAGAGTTGGCGCTTATCTCATATCTCACAGCTCGACGGCGTGAGATCTGGCATCACCTACAACCAACACCATGCCGGTACCAAGGCTGTTCACAAAGTAAGCAGGCGGCAGAATCTTAGGTCACGGACACTGCAAAAGTGTTACTTGATTCGTTATGTTATTTGTTCCAAATGTCCTATTATTTTACACAAATATCGCTTGCAGGGTCTACACCGTGTCGAAATTGTTTTGTTGAGATAGTGTTAACACGACGTGGGGCCGAGTTTACTTTACTCCCGCGATAATGAGCAACCGAGAATCTAACGTTTGAACACCGACGATTGACACCACACTGACCCACACGATTCCCGTCTGCAGTCGATACTTTGTAAAATTTGGCGTCACACCAAACACGGATGAGTAGAAACGGGATTGACTTTGCGGCTTTTCACATCACTCAAGCCATCAAAGCTTTTTTTGTTGTCTGCGTTTAAAAATGGTGCCACGTAATGCCACGCAATTCTAAACCACACTGGTTGCGTTTCAAAATCTTAATGACGCGAACATTTTCTGGTGCCAAACGCAAGAGGGGAAAAGCCCATTTCTTCAAATAGTTTACCGCAGCTTTAAGCACAAATGTAACTCAATACATTCTGGTTAGGTGCCTCGTTCGTTTTCCAGTAAGCAAACTCGTGCAGCACGCAACTTCGAAAGTGCAGCCTCCATGCGTGTCTGGTCATTTTACAAATTCAAGGCACAGCCACACACTCATCCGATTTGCATACAATTACTGCAAGTTTTTTAGGCCTTGTACTCCGCAACTGCCTTGTTCGCCACGATGAAGTCAATTACACACCGTATCGTTTTTATTTGTGAAATCTCATCTCACGGTAACTACGCCCTTGGAATTTAAATATAGTTAAAGTTCCATTCAGAAGACTACCTCCAGTGTACGATGGATGAACTGGTACGCAGTGAATAGCCCGCACGCTTTGTCACCTCAACAAATTCACCTCGGAAGAATTAACATTTGCACTTAGTACATTTAAGCACTGCGATTCAACTACCTCACAGCCTGAAGATGTAAATGTGAGGGGGGCGAACAACTGACACCGCCCCAACCAACTGCGGGTGTGGTGCCACGTGACCCAACGGTTCTGGTGATAAAAACTTCCGATTCCCATCAGAGCTCCTGGCGACTTTTCCATGACTAAACCTAGGTAACGACATGCCGTCCCAGCACTTCAGTGAGGCAATAAAGCAGGCATTGGTCGAAACACCTCGCCGTGTGGGGCACGTACGCGATACTCTTATCTGCAGATCGATGTGATATCCCAGAAATCTCAAATGCCGGCTTAGTGCTTCGCTTGGGGATTGTGTCCCCGTGTTCGACATCGGAGTTAAACCCGTTCACCTCAAAACCGCTTTCGATCTTAGCCCTAACTGCGCACGAGAACAAGTAAACACCATGTCAAAAGACCAGAGCCTGCCATTTTATAAAAATTATAATTGAGAGGCGCACTTGGGGGAGAGGAGGGGTAAGGGTGACCACACACACACACACGCACAAATTCACATACAGGGGACGAGTCATAACGGATGAGTGCATGAAAGAACCTACAGTACGCGCGCATGCACGCACGCACGTGTGTAAGTACATGCGCGCGGTTAAATCGAGAGGTGGTGGTGGTGGAGAATGGGAGGGAGGGTAGGGGGAGACAGAGCGTCACTTGAGAGAACATTCAGGTGATTTGTTGATGATAATAGCCCCCCGTGAGTACAACACACGCATGTGTTCGCGTGCATGTATCACTCTGACACACACCCACCCACCCACCCACACTCAATATGCTTGTGTGTGTGCGCGCGCGCGCGCGCGTGTGTGTGTGAATAACGAGGAACAGGCGGGGAGGGGGAGGGTAGGGTGGAACCCCGTCAGTGCATCTATCACAGTGTTTTTCATGAGTTATCGCGTGCGCACCTGACTACAACAACCCCACGCCTCTAATCCTATTAAATTTGAGTTATATATTATCAGTACACAGTGCAGGAGGGTGGTGGTGGTGGGGGAGATGTAGTGATACGGTTGGGCGCTTTTAGATGACTGAGGTGAGAGATCTACTTGACGTTGCGAGGACGCTTCGGATTGCGAAGTCCAGCGGGCGAGGAGGTGTCGCTGAGCGAGCGTTTTCGCCACTTCCTCGGGATGGTGAGCAGTGCCTGGCCAAGAGCTGGAGACACCACAGGGGCTTCCCTTGGGAGTGGAATATGCGGAGGAAGGACAGATGTCAACGACTCGTTGAACCCATCTCCCCAGACATTCAAGTCGTCGGCTGGGTGAACCGCGTGAAGGTAGTTTTCGGTGTATGGCCAGTGGAGATAGGAGGTGGAGGGAGCGGGTTCACGATCATCGTCGTCGTCATCGCGAGCGCTACTATCAATATCACAATTGGCATCGTTATCACTACACTCGGGGCTGCCAGTGACAGTCTCCTCGCCGTGCACATCACGATACTGAACATGCAGATGAATGCCTCGACGGCAGTACTTGAAGTAATTCTGATACTCCCGCATGAAGCAGTAAATCTGGCAGATGTTATCAGAGGTTGTGGGGGGCAGAGGCCCAGTCGAAACCACCGGCAGTGACAGCTGTGCGTTACTGCTCAACGATGGTTCCATCTGAGGGTTCAGCATTGCACTGTTGATCCACGAGATATCCGTAGAATAGTCCCAATCGGGTCCTAGAAAGTGGCAGCCAAACGATTAGGCGGTAATGCAAACAGGAGAGATCAGGGGGAGGGAGGTGATCGTGTTCATACCGTATTCCGTCCGAATTAGTGGTACGCGATCGTTTGCACCCGCGGAGTTTAGGCAGGGCGGAAGGTCGCGTCGAAGCAGAGCACTAAAGGAGATGTTGGATTAGATGCCATCGTGTTGGACGCGTGGATGTGGTGTCTCGCATGAAATCACTACCGCTCAAGCACCGATTTGAGGGGAGGGAGGGGGTTAAATAAGAGATTGAAGTGACTTGACAACTAAGAAACCGAGAAATGCCTAGTAGATGGATTCAGTTTGTCGGAAAAAGGCGGTAACCACGAAAAATAGAAGTCACCGCAAACTGGACAACAAGTGATCACAGAGACGTACTCGGAGAAGTTCATGACTTCACGGAAGCGCTGATCGAGGGCTGAGTGGGACTCCTCCATGGCACGTTCGCTCTTGTCACGCGAGTAATCGTGCGACACCATGACGTGGACGGTGTGGGCGTGGTTCCACAGGGCTGACTCGACTTCTTCGTTGTACTGTCCAAACGGCCTACACGAATGGCGAAAAGGAACCGCAATTAGCGAAAGGGTTCTGTGTGCTAACCTAAGAGCCCTTAAGGGGCTGCCGACGCACCTAAACGTGATGAAGAGATTATCGTCGTGGTGGGGGTAGAGTTTGGCTGCGGTGTAGAGCCAATGGTAGATGGCGAATTTGGGACAGCGCAGAATGCGAACACGCCGGAGGCACGGAACTGGGTCACGGACGCAGGGAGCCACAGCTGACTCCACGGGGTGGACCAGGATGGCCGCTAAGGCGGGGCAGTTCTCCAGAGTGATGTTTTTCAGCCTTGGCACACCCGACAGCACCAAGTGAGAGATGCCAACCTGGAAGGAAATTCGAATCGACGGTGAAACCAGACCAAGCAACAACGCTCACAGGACAGCAGAGTCTGAATGCACTACAACTTGGGGTTTCAAGATGCACAAGATGCTTTCAGAAAACTAGGTTGCTCAAGCTGACCTTTTCGAAGTGAAGAGTGGTGAGGCAGCTGAAGGGAGACACCACTGGTTGCCAGAGGGTGAGAACACAAGGCTTCGGGCCGGTGAAGCAGCGGAGCTCGCTTGTGTCCACACAGGCGTCCCGGGCAATCCACACACGAGGAGCGTGCTTCAAGTCTGACTCCGCCCGCGTTGCTGACGGTGGGTTCTAAGCAGACGGAAAGTGTATTTTTTTATTCGGGCGTGCATGGGATGGCGCTTGTTTGGGACTTAGCGTGACCTACCTCGACACCCGACGCACACCCGGGGCATTCCCCAGGTCCACAAAGGGGTCTGACGAATGGAGCTTGAGTATCTCGGAGGTGGGCGAAGGCGGGGCTGGCCACCACACCGCGAGCCCACTCTGAGTTGGTCATCTGCTGGTACAGTACCTGGTGCTGTTGCGACGGCGCAAACGGGTGGAATGCCAGGGGGCCCCCAAGTTGCTGCTGTTGGGGCAGTTGTGCGTGCGGCGCGTGGAGGCCATGCTCCCAGGGAAGTGCCCGAGCCGGTTCAGAAGTGGAGGCATGCCTTGGGGTCTGTTTGGACGGTAACAGGTGCATTCGCTGGACGAAGTCCCACTCCAGCAGACCGCAGACACACGTCTGTGTGCAGCGAGACACGAAGTCGGCAACGTCTGCGCATGTAGTGTCGTCGGCGTCGTTGTTGTCGGTGAAGGTGGTGTTTTGCGTTGTCAGGGCCTCCGTGTCAAAAATCAGACGGGATATTCGCGAGGCAGTTGGCCGACCAGAGGAGTGTCCGCAGGACCCGTCAAGGTGGAGAAGAGAACTCAAGTAGGTGTGGGTGCGCAGTGTGAACTAAGGCACCAAAAAACCACACCAGCAATTAGCAAACGTGGAAGAATTCTTATTTGGTGAAATAGTGTGGAAGGCGACTCACAAAGGTGTCAAACGGCTTGACGGGTAGGTTAAGAAGCCGCATCCCAACAGTGGCCACATGCGTGACGTCACGGGCCGACGAGCCAAGCGCGACACCCGTGGGCGCCAGCGGAGCGAAGGCGATCCGTCTGGCCGACAGATGATCGGCGATGGACAGCAACAAACCGAGTTTCTTCCAATTGCGCGACTCTGGTCGCGCAGGCGACTCATCCTTCGGCGTCGACGGTGCACTCCAACGCTCTGACCAGACGGCAGGCTCTTCGTTCATGAAGTTTGACGACGAAGGTGAGATCTCTCGACGCAGAGGAAACATGTCGCGGAGGATGAGCGAATCAAGCAGTCCGAAGGGATGGCCTGTTGAGATTATCCTCTCAAGCTCCTAAAAGAGACACAAAAATCCAACAAAATGCAACTTTTCCTCCCATTCCTTGGGCTGTACACACAAACACCCACAACCAACAAAGCTATTGGGAGTTACCGTGGGCGCGAACTGACGATGGTAACTCACCTCAACTCCCACATTGGGACAGTTCTCCAGTGTCAGCGATCTCAACGGCAGACAGGTGTGGTGGATGGGCCTGGGCTCGTCGGCGCCTTCCGCGGAACCGCCGCCAGACGTCTCCTCATTATTCACCGCCTGTTCGGAGTCCACAGACGACGGTGTGGCTTCGAAGCGAAACTGCGTGACGAAGGGAGCGTGGCGCAGTGTCAAACTAGTAAGACGTGGACACACCGTGAAAACCAGCGTCAGACCGCGATTGGTGAAGTTGCACACCGGCACCAAGCTCTCCACGGAGTCGACCAATTCAAGACTCGCCAACTCAGAGGCGGTGAGACGCGCCCGATAGGGATCTTGGTAACCTGGCGGACAGGGGAAAGCAAGAGTTTTACCAAATGCTAGACTGCAAATCGCCGGGTGTCCACTTCACTTAACCGCCACCGGATATCAAAAAGAATTTGAGATCAGAAACTGGTAATCTCAATCACTTATCGACAATTCAAAGGGGCATAATTTTATAAAATAGTCGGCAGTAACACGGAGTGACACGTCACGGTAATTTCGCGAAATAGCTCAAGGCTGCGTCACTGCGTACCCTCGTTCGACACCGGGGTCACGTTGTCGACCTGATGCGAACGCACGACCTCACAGAGAGACTGATTCATCCAGCTAACTGGCACCGTACAGCGCAGTCTCAAGCCACTACACACCAGAGGTTGCGATTCTGCGACTCCTACTGTCCGCAAATTCGATGTCCTGAGAGGTGCCGGGGGCGTGTGCGTGAGACTTACTGGGAGGCTGTGCACACGAAGAACTTCACCAGAGCCTAGCGGCGGCATTAACCCTCAGCCCTGGTGCAAGACCAAGTAACCACAGTGGAGTGATAGCATAAAACTCGAGTGTAAACCTCCTTCCCGAGCTACGATAGAGGCCGGAGCAGGCGTGGGGTGATAAAAATAGCCCAGCGTCACGAGGAGAGAAACAGAGGTGCACTCGCACGTACCCCCTCCACCGCGAAAATGTGCTGTGCCGGTGATTGTGGCATCATGTGACACGATTAGACCATATGACGCAACTTTCTCTGCAATTGACAGGGGCGAGCTGAGGGCTACCTTAACTAACTGATAGGTGGGGCAAGCAAAGCCTAGTTATACCGCCACTCCCTCACAGTGCGTCGCAGTGACCACAGGTCGAGTGTAACACCGCTCCGCACTCACGACAGCATGGCAGCGCATAAAAAAACTTCGTCTGCGGACATTAAAGCACATCTACACTAAGAGGACTGAGGCGATCAGCGTGAGCGAGCACGGACTCACTCGATCATCCTGAGTGCGCCTCGCGTCGCAATGTTCACTCAGAGCGACGGCGAGCTGACGTCGCACCGCGCTATCGACACACACACACACACACACAAACCTAATAACCGCGCTCTTAGTGTAACAATAATTCGCTCGAATAAAGCGCTATCTGCGGTCTCCGCTCTCTCGGTCTTGGTCGGGCCTTGCCAGTGTAAGCGGCATGGCCCGGTACTTTTTGAGAACCACGCCGAGGCATTGCGTCACACGGGCTTCCAGGCAACACAGGTTACGCGTGAACATTGCCGTGAAAACACGCGTGTCAGTCGAAATCGACACGGCGTGACATGGGGTTGAGGGGTTTCGACAGGACCGAAGTGTTGCCTAAGCGTGGCAACAGTTGAGAGAATGCGCTAGGCGCTAGATAAACACGCTCCGACTTGCAGTGAGATGACGCAATGCAAAACGACGAAGATGTCACTTGCGTCAGTAACCAGGCGATGTCTTGAGAGCAAAACCGGTTCAGGAGGCCGCACGTTGCAGCACGCACAACCACACAACACGACCACACACTCCAGGCACACGTACGCAGCCGTCAGTTCGTGTTAGGCGTGAAGCCGTATTCAGGCACTGACTGAATGCTACACCAATAACAACAACAACACCGCCACCAACGCCGCAAGCTCCACCGACCATGGTGGGGATTAGTCACTGGAGGGCCGTGTTGTGAACGAAAACGCTAGAAGGTGAATTGGCAAAAATAGAGAAGGCACGGGTGCAGGATGTGACAGAGTGAGTCACCGTCTTTTTCGGATTTTGGTCGTTACTTTCCAGAAACTGTGGACACCCATCCACCCACCCACGAGGAGGGTTGACTGGGACAACAGGAGAAGGCATTTATGCGCCAATACAGTTCTCAAATGAAGCGAGAGACGACCACACAGACGGGGGTTGGTACAATGCTGATTATTGGCTGACACCAGCATGGAACAACTCGTATCACAATTTGATTTGCGTTTGCAGTATTTGGAAGGTTTCTGGGTCACAGCTAAGCTGTATGCAGAAACTAGTTCAAACCGGATCTAAGATAACACTGCAGCGGTAAACAACACGTTTTTGGTAGATTAAACACACACACAGGCCACGGCTGCATTAGCAGCAGCTCCATTTACGCCGAAAGTTGGAATAATTAACTCGGACCGTTAATTTGAGTAATAAAAAATACGTGGCCTTCAAACAAACACACGCACCGGGAGAGAACAGGTTGGGCTATCGCCTGAGTTACTGACACCTGCACATGGCGGGGGGAGGGGGTGGCGCAACTCGAATACACAAGAGGGGGAACACGCCGGGAAAGAGGTTCGGATGCCATCGGAAAGCGGGGCAACTAGTCGCCTCAACAAACGGGCTTGTGCTAGAGAGCCTAGAAGAGGCGCGTGCGCACACACACACACACACACATCCACGATGACGTACACACGCGGACGCGAGAGCGGTGTGTGGATGTGTGCACGTGCGACATGTGTGCGTGCACAGGGACGCGACAAACGCACATCGCCATTCACGAACCGACCGGTACCACGGTTTGTCACCGACTTCACCAGAGGAGGAGGAGGAGGAGGTTAGTCAGGCAAAAAAAGTTAAAACGCAGGTCTTTGCAGTGCCTCAGCGAGTGTTTCCGCAAACTTTTGAGCAAAAAAAACAAACTATCCACACCAAGCCCCTCGTTCCGCTGAAATGGCTCCTTCTGCACACACACACACACACACGCACGCACATGCATTAACAAGCCCAGTTCATTTGGTAAAAACCTAAAAAGCCAATGAAGTCTCCCCTGAACAGCACAAAGAGGCAGTTAGGAGCATCAAGGTATGTCTACCAACCTCTGCTTGTCATTAACTCTGACAATTTTCAGGACTGACTGGAGAGAGAGAGGGGAGGAGGGTGAGTGTGATAAACGCGATAGCACTACGCAAAAATCGTCACCAAGACTGGCAGTTTTCGGTGGAATATTAAGCTACACACACGAAATCGGGAGAGAAGTGAGAGGACAACGACTTGAATTACCCAAAATGAGGCTTTCAAGACGCACGAGGCGGACCCCCGCCTGAGAGAGGGCCTCGAAGAGGGAGTTGCGGGTGTGCCAGATCTGGAGCGCCAGGTGGGAGAGCGACTGCTGGCTGGCCACCAGGAGGAGACCCACGTCAATTTCGGTGGCATCCTTGTTGCCCGCCAAGACGAGACGCTGGAGGTTGCGGAAGCAGTAGGCAGGCGGCTCCTCTCGGTCGACCAAGTGCTCAATAAGACCGTCTACAAGAAGAGGGAGGGGGGAGGGTGGTCAGGAAATCCACAGAACGAGACAGGCGGGCCTCAAGACTCACCAATAAAACGAGTCCCGACAAGCTCCAGCCGCGTGAGTTGAGGGGCCCTTGTGAGGACGGCGAAAATGCGCACAAAACGCACGAAACGCTGCGGACCGATGCAGTTGTTCATCACAAACGACTGCAGCTTGTTTGCCTGGAATGAGCCGAACGGGTCGGACATTGTGAAGACAACCTGAAAGGAGAAAAACGGCAGTCGGGGACAGACTCACCCACAGGAGACACAACGACTACGAAGGGAGCTGGGTCAGGGCCGAGGCTTCAACGTTCTCTTCACCAATTCGGTGTAATAGGTTTTGCACTGCTGATGCATTAACAGCCTGGACACGGGCCGCATGAAGCCAATTGTTATCAAGTGTTAGAAAAAGCCTGGAAATCCACGCATGCAAATCAGAAGTACCACATTAAAAATGGCAGAACTTGTCACTGGGTAGCCGTGAAGCCGGGCATCAGATTTTGAGAGCAACGCGTTTAAGCACACGACTGGGGAAGAAACAGCAAGGAATTTGGCATTTGAGGGTAGATTGACTAGAAGTTGGAGCTGGAATCACACGCCCCGTAGAAAGAAACTACTCGAATTCGCCTCCGCGCAACCAAGTGGCCACAGAAACGGCATGACTTCGGGAGGGTTTAGTTGGTAGAACTCTAACCGACGCAGCGCAGCGCAGCACGCAGTAAAGGCATTATGGAGTTCGGGTGATCCGCTTTTACTCACACCGTCACACTCACAGTAACAAAATTCGATTACCAGTGCCGCGGACGCCGCAAATCACAAGGGTAACAGTAAGGGAGCATTGGTGTACGAAATCTCAGATTTCAAGCAAGGCTAATCGACAGTGCTCTAAAAAAGTGCCAACGCGCCATTAGTGAGAACGCGTTCTAAAAACAGCCCGATCGCATTACCTGGCGGTGGTGCGTGACTGTGAATAGCACTATAATTTCACGTGGAAGTTTTGAGTAGGGTGGCAGCTAAGACGACGACGACGACGAGATGGCGGGTAAGGGCATCGGGACCACGAAAAACTCAGCGAACCGCAAATTTGAACAAGGCATGCAGGGGGCACCTTAATGGCTGCCGGAGACGGGTAAAAGTGACTTTAATTTTATCGAAAATTGACTGGCTTATTGGATTCTGCAATACGGCTCGTCTGCACCGCTTTAACAGCATTAAAGCCAATTTATTAGTTTTACAACCAAGCATATTAGCTGTAAGTACGACTTTGCAATTAAAAACCAAGTGATGAATGTAAAAAAAATAACAGTAGCAAGAAGCGAGGGTAATAAAAATAGACCCCATACACATGACGCATCAGTGAAGACATACCCATTTCAAGTGGAGGTACTTGACGTTGTCTAATTTCGGGAGGGCTGAAATTGCCACCGAGACGAGGTCCAATTTGGTCAGGTTCGATATGACCGGCGGGAGGATGACCGGGGGTGGATGGCGCAACGAAGGCAGGGGCGAGACGAGGCCCTGGACGCCAGAGTCTGGATGGTGATGATGATACTGTTGCTGTTGGTACAAGAAGAGTGGTACTTGTGGGAGGCCTGGTTGCGGTGGCGCCGGCGGCGGCGGCGGTGCCTGTCCTCGTCTTTGCTGACTCCCCCGTCCACGACGAGCACGCTGCGACCCCGCGGCAACCGCGTCGGCCAAACGAGTCAGAGCAGGAGTACTGACTCGTTCGTGAAAATCGACCAGCTGTAGTCGACCTAAAATGTTTTCGGGCGGAACAAAGGCGGCGGCTATCGCGAGAGCGACCATTGGATCGGGATCGGCGAACGCAGGCGGCCCGGGTTCTTGTGAAATGAGCCCCGGCTGTGATACAGGCGGCGGTTGGGCGGCAATAAGCACTCGCTGGGCCGGCGATGGCGCAAAGTGAGAGTAGTGCACTGAGGGAGACCCCTGACCAAGTGGTGCTTCGTTAATCGGTTCAAACCAATCCGCGAGTCGCGCTCCACGAACAGCCGCTTGGTTCACAAACGCAGCTGCCGCCTGCGCGAGGTCCATAGAACTCGACGATGTCATGCCCATATTGCAGTTAGTCAGCAGAGAGTTGACACAACTGAAGTACGGACTGGTGGAGAGGCGCTGTTGCAAGTGGTGATCCACTACCGCAGGTCCGTTTCGCGAAGATTCGGCTTCCGGCTCGCTTGGCATGGGAATAGCGTATTCGGAATCCCAACTATCCGGTCGATTGCGGAACATTCCGTGGAACTTCACATGAGGCAGACGAAGCACCAATTGGCTCATCAATTCAACATCCATCAGCTCCACTGAGCGCAGCTTGCTGCACGACCGAAAGATGTCGATGATGCCTGCATAAGTAAGTGTGCGTCCTGATGCGTTTTGTGAAGGTAAAGCTGGCTGGACACCGCCTGCGTATATGCGGCGAGGGTAAAAACCGAGAATGTGCGTAACCTCAGGCGTTCGAGAGAGAATGCGTCTGAGTGCAGCGTCATCTAGGCAATCGGAGAGGAAGGCGAACGGGAGGCCGTTGCTGAAGTTGACACGCTTGACCTGCAGCAGGTACATTAGTGCGACAGATCGCAGACGCTTATTTACACGCTGCGCACGAAATAAGTCTTGAATGCTCAAGTACTGGACAATACGTAGCATAACTTCGACTGGAAGATCGTCCAGCTTTCGTGGTGCGTTTCGCATCTCCTCCCATTGCTTACGAAGTTGTTCTTGTCGAATTCTCGAGCGCAGAGGGTAGACGTGGAGTTCAAGAGAAGCGCCATTTGCAGATTCAATCATGGCCTTCTTGGAACTGTTGCGCAAACGGTGCATCTCGCGTTTCCGCTTACCTCGTTTAGGAACATCTAAATTCGTAATGACGCAATGAAACAATGGGACTGTTGAGTAGTAAATACGAAATTATGAAATTTAAACTTGCCAGATCCCGAAAGCTGTGAGTCAGAGTTTGTCTTTGCTTCCCCTTTTTCCTGAACGCGTTCATCAGGTGGTTGGTCGGCGTTAGCAATTTCTGGTACATTGACCACGTCGGATGCAGTGATTTCCACAACAGGGTCTAAATAACAACAACTATCTCCTATTACTCGCGGAAGTGCACCAGTCAGTTCGCCACGGTGTTGAAGTTGCTGAGTAGGTTCGTGTGGAGAGGGTGGAGAAGAAACGGGTTCCAAAACAGTGGAAACAAGGGAAGCGGCAGAGGAAAATGATGAAAGACAGGCTTTTGGGAGGAGAGTATTTGGGCAAGGGGCATCAACCTGTTGCCTAAATGCGTCCGAAGGCAAAGCAGAGGAAGAGGTGGAGGGATGGGAACAGGCATCACAGCTGTTTGATCGTTGAACAGAGGGTGTGGATGTGAAAGATAGAGATCTCTGAACGGTGTCAGCGTGGCTAACGCCAACACTCTCACAGAAAGAGGAACGGCTAGTAGAATTCGCCTCGGGCTCTGAATCCTGAAACGTCGATGAAGGAAGTTTAATAACTGGCTCGTCTTCTGTTTCACTATTGTTTGCCTCATCGTTACTTTCTGAAGTTGGACTTCCAGACATATCATCGTCGACACGAACCTCCTCCTGCACAGAAGCTACTTCGACCACCGTCTTGAGGTCTTCCATGCACGAATTTGAATCGGAATCTACATGATCTGAAAAGCACTTCACTGGACTGGACGGGTGGTCTGAGATGAAAACGGGGTTGCACATAACCTTTGGGGGGGTTTCAGTGTCAGCCAAATTATCAGCGACGCCATCAGCGCAAGATCGGTATCGACGGGATTTTCGTGGTGGATTTTGAATATCCGATGTCACAGAAGTGCCTGATGAGACACCTCCGCTAAGACGAAGACGTTTTTGTCTTGCCACACGAGTTGGCACAACATCCGAACCAAGTGAACTGACGGAGTTGCTCCGACGAGGAAGGGTCTCGGTAAGGCATTGATGTTGATGCTGTTGTGTTTCCTGATTATCGGATCTCAGGGGCATTTCAAGCAATACTCACTAGATCCAAGTCAGTCAAACTGACAATTAAGTATGACGACTAAAAAATACAATTGACGACAATGAAAGAAAAAAGCACAAACAGTAAATTAAGCTAAATCAAAATTCCTAAAACAAAATGGCGGACTTAAGCAGTGCGTACTAAAGAAGTTTCACTTAGAATTGGGGACAAGATAAATAAAAGATTCGCCGAAAAAGACATACCCAACCATTAAATATTTCCGATTTATGTGTGTAGGGAGAATTAGAAGAACCCAAGTGATTAAAAGAACTAAAAATTGTTACCACTTAGATTTAATGCATGAATAATCACAGGGAATGCGCATGATTAATCAATGCACTAGTTATTGGAAAATAAACAAACTGTGTATGACCAAAATAATAATAAAACAGCTATAAGTTAGACTATTATCACAAAATAAACTAGAACTAGGCGCGAGCCAGTAACCAGAAATAATACATCTTGCACCTAGGCTCGCAGTCACGAAAAATGGCTACACGTATCGCGATACCGAATATAAAGTATACCCCATAGCGAGAGTTCAAAGGATGGTAATGACCAACGATATCTACTTAAACAAGTATCGAATGCACTATTATCGATCCCATTTAACCTGCCGTATTTTCAGACAAAATGCCAGTTTTTTCAACTAAATTTTTTCAAGGTATTGTGTGCAGTGCTTTACCTTCAATATGATGTCACACAAGCCATTTTAAACAGATAAAATTAAAAAAATCTGGGTTAAAAATAATTTTACTTTTTCATCCTTAAGCATATTTCTCACCCAGACTTGTCTACTATTCGTTTATTATTATTAGTGTTAAGAACCTTTAAATTAGTAAAATTGTTTTCTTCTATACGTCTTCGGTCCTTGCAATAATCAATTCTAATTCAATCGTTTATTTTAAACGTCAAATTAGTAAAAATAACTTTTTTGAATCGTGCAAATTAGACCAAATGTTATTAAAATTATGAGCGAAAGGACAAAATTCAACAATTTAGAGTCGTTACTTGCTTTTCCCCAAACGAACACCGAAAGATTTAACGAATACTTAAACATACTTGCTGAGCACAGGTTTACGCAGTCGGTTTATCACAAGATATTAGGAATGATGTTTTATTTAGGGCTCTTTTTATTCATTACTTGCTTAAAGAAAATTTGAATCATTTAACACTTAAAAATGCACTCAGAATGCAGGTATCCGCGAGATAATCCTTATTTAAAAAATATATTAAAGCCTCTATTTAGCCCGAAAATAATTTTACGCTTCTCTACGCTAAATTGTAGTTAGCTACCGAAAAGTTTACAGATTGCAATTTCAACTGAAAGAATTCTGCTTAGTCTACATCGATGTCCTTCCTGATTTTATTCACGAAATTTTGAAAGTGAAATGTCGACCGCTTAAATAACGCAACTTTTTTGGAGTGAACGGTCGGCCAAAATAATATTACTTGGTTTAAATAAATTTGCACCCTTAAATTTGGCAGGGACATCTTTTACGCATTTTTAATAAAATGGAACAGTTCGGAATGCGCGCAGTAATTCAACCAATGTTTGGATAATTTGTTGTGGATCGTGTTGGGCCGCTGGGCACGACCACGTCGTTGAATTTGGCGGCCGCGGCGTTCTCCAATACCGCCTCGGTGAGGAAAAGGGACCAGAAGAGCTCCGTCCAACTCGACAGGAAGGCCGCGTTGGAGGCCAGACGGAGGCAACTGAGGGCGATATCGAAGTAGAACTTGGAAGGAAACAAGTAGACCAGGGTTAGGGAGGAGACCTGTTGTGAATCGAGTTGATTCACACGCCTTAATCCGGTCACACCAGCATGTCGCCAGCCGCGCGGATCCTCAACTCACATCTCATTTACACGGATATCTAACTTGAAATATCCTCACACCTAGGTCTCGATGTTAGCGCATGTATGACTCACTCATCCGAGGTGAAAATACACACGTGCGAACGCCACACACGACGCAACGACACCAACGTGGTTGAATTCTGAAGTAAACGGTTGTGTTCATGTCCGTTATGATCTTTTTGTTTATTGCGGGTACCAGGGAAACTTGATCGGGCCAGGGTTAATTCTGTGACCCCGGCGTGGTTCTAGACCCCATGCTGAGGGCCAAAACAAACAGCTTATCTTACTAGAACACATTTTGTATAAAAATTAAACAGTCTTTGAGACAGATCTGGGTTTAAATCAATAGATTGACTAGAGAAAAAATATTTTGCAGTTAATTTAGGTCCAAAAAAGAGTTGACCTTCAATCGTTTCGTTGTATTATATGAATCGTTTAGAAATACATTAGTCTAAATCGAGAACACCGAATGAAGTAATGCTTCCAGTTGGTAACATTGAGTTCTAGCCGGCAGTTCACCGCCGCAAACCTTTAGTAACAGCAAAATCTGAATAGATTTTTTTAAACGAAATTTATCTTTCTAGTAGTGCAAAAATTAATGAACGAAGATGTAACGCAAATTTCTGTTTATAACGTGTCGTGAATTAAATTTTATTAAAATACTCTTTTAGTCATTAGAATATAGCCTATTGACAAAATGAACAGGAAAAAGTAATGTAGTTTAAGGCCCATAATATCGTATAGGAATCAATATATAATGTTTTTTGAAAATAATTAAAGGGAATGAAATTCAATTATGCAAAAACAGCCGAATTAAGCATGAATAACTTATGTTAGATTTATTGGTTTTACGCCTCTGGAAATTGCCATTTAATCAATAATATTAAACGTTGTGTGCATATTAAAAAAATTGCTAGTCGACTCAAAATTTGGACAGCGTAGAGTCCTGCACAAAAGTATTTGATTAAAAGAGACATGCCATATGTGTTTGCTTTTGTTATCTGCTACTTAATTTCCGACCGTCTGGAGCCTGTTGAAATAGTGTTACACATGAGCACTACTTAACCATCGATCGAGCAGTGAATTTGATGCTAAGAATAAAACGCGCCAATTCGAGCGACGGAAAATAGAAGAAGGGAGGAACTAAGAACTGAAAGGAATCAAAAAGAAAAAAAAATTGATACTTTGAACAGAGTAAATGGATTATCCTTGAATTACTTCCACTGCCTTTCCTTTTCATTTTTTACTTTCTCACTAAGAACTGATTGTCATTTAGCAAAGAAATTTTGAGAGAATTCCTCATATTTTTTCTAAGCTGCAAAGAAAGATAATTGAAGCGAAAAGGACATTGCTTTCTTAAATGTCTATTAAAGATACTTTTTTTGAGATTCTAACAATGAAACCAATTTTTTCCGGAAGTTATTAAAGCATCCTTTTTAGAGAAGAACAGGCTCAGACTTAGTTCCATGTTCCAATTTCAAAAAAATTATATAATGTACGAAGGAAGACCCTGAAAACTATTACATCATTGAGATCATTTTAAAATAATTGTTAACTTAAAACGGCAACTACCTAAATCACTCTGATTTGCCTTTGTAGTGTTGGAAAATGTGTTTTATGAGCTGTAAAATTCAGGCCCGAAAGCCGTGATTTCTTATTTGAACAATCCTTCATAAGTCTAGAACAGAAATATCAATCTTACGCTAAGATTTTGTTGAAAATCAAATTATTTTTAAAGAAAATCGTTTGGAAAGACTGCAGCCATCTCAACGCAACGTCTAAATTTTGTCTTTAATTTTCTTAGCAACGTTATAAACGCATTCTGCATCAACAAGCACTTTAAATAGGTTAAGATGTGGTTATTTTTGCACCAGTCTGCGAATCAAAGTTGCAAATTTCACAAAAAAACACGAATGAAGGCAACGAGCACATAAACCGAAATGAGACCGCTGTGGCATACTTCAAACATTTCATTACGTGATAACTACTCAATGAATAAGCACCATGAGAAGTGGATTTAGAACGCGACAACTGGTAAGACTAATCAATATCATAAACTTCATTGTCAGGATATGCATTCTGCAAATAAATATTACTCTGTGCCATTATGCGAATGATAAGATTTGTAATATAATTCATAAAAAAACAATTGTTAGAATTTCAAAAACAAGAAACGCAAGTATAATGACTTTTACAAACATTTCTGTAAATGAAAATTAAGCTCAAATGCTAGTCAAGAGATATATGAAAATATTAGCTTCAAACTATGCACTGGACATGAATCACCCTGCACAAAATAATTCAGCGATCAAGAAAAGCTTTATGGATCGTAATAGCTAATTTAAAAGTATTGTGTTCCAAGTGGAAAATAACACTAGTAATAATTTTTAGACGAAATTCCACTTATTCCAACTAAAGGTAGTAATTTTTTTGGAATAATACACCGGAAGATATAAAATTTTAACACTCAATCCAATATCTTTGCCTACTTGAGGTTTTTAACTCGATATTAGAACAGCTTATCACTGCTTTTATCTAAGCATCATCTGCATTTTTTTCGCAAACAATACCTATGTCTTTTTTTCGCTTTTTTAATTAAATTTGCTATCTTGCAACTGCTGTTAAGGGGCTTGTTAATGAAATAAAAATATGACCTTGAACTTATATCTTGGCAACGGGTAAATAATTTTTTTTCAAGTGAGAATGTCTCATACGGCTTTGCCCTTTCTGCCCGGGAATGTATTTGATAGAAAAGTAAGAATGGTGGCCCATGAGATACTTTTAGATTGGGAAGGAAAAATTTCACAAGTCTCATTATCTTGAGAAAAAGTTCGATTTAGGCTACTTATTTCACGATAACAAACCCGGTATCGGTGGCGACCGACTTCCAGGACAGCGAATTGAACCACAAACAAGTATCTATCCTACGGGCTGCAATTCACAGGTTCCTGCATGGATTGCATTTGACAAGCAGGTCAGAAAAAAGATTATTTGTTGCAAATTCAAATTCTGAATTATAAATTCTTAAATGTTTAGTTACAATTATTTGTTGCGATTACTATATATACTTTGCATGGCATATTCTATTTGCAAAAATGCCAAACAAATTATGCTTCTTGGGCCCGAATCTCATTTGTCTTCTTTCGTGTGTAGTTATTCTTAATTTTCCCTTATATTTCCTGCCAATATAATCCTAATTATTTTTAACCCACAATTAAACAAAATAAATGAAACTACATTTGGTGCATTACATGGAACCTTTTAAACATTTTGCCACCCTCTGTCGGTTACTTTACGATAAAGCACTTTCAACCCTGCTAGACGATGAAAAAATCACTAAAATATGTCAGTCGTTGCTTTGCAAAATCGGTATGAATACGGACTTCGTATTTGATCTTTAAAAATCGCAATCGTTATGGTTTTACGAATGGCCTTAATTGATGTTCTTATTATTTATTTGTGGAACCCGAATCTCCAATCTTACGCCAGAATTTAACAGAACTCAGTTTAGAAATAAACAAATTAAGCGCGCAGGGGTCAATTTAATGTAGTGAGGGTTGTTGAAATTAAGAAATTAGTTAACTACAAAAGATCTCTGTGGTAATTAATGACTGCGGGATACAGGGTGTTGTCTTTAATGGTCATCATTTATGTTTTTTGGAAATTCGAAAACGTAATTCTACTGTGGGATAAAACACTGATTATTGTAAAGTAAATATAAAATTGCCATTCAGACGCATCTCCAGATTTTAACCGCTTAAATTGTGAGGAGTTTGCATTCACTTTATTGTGGATTTTCGGGGAAAGTTAGGTCCTAAGTTCCTTGAAGTGATTGCAGTGAGTAATTTTGCAGCTTTGAGTCCTTTTGATGTTCTTCAGGTTTTGTGCTTCGACGCCTACTTCCAACAGGCCATCCATGAACGTCGCGATGAGCAATACCGCGTAAGACGGTGTCAAATACTCTTTTACCTCGAAGACGACACCATGCAGGTTGTTGAACCGCGGATCCAAAATTCAGCACTTTCGCAGGGTCAGTCACTTCTTGAAATCCAATTGAATTTCTTCTTTATGTTTTAACATTCTAAATGAACTCAGAAGACTAAAATAACGTGAAATAAACCTTTAGGTTTGTTTGCTTGCTCGGTGAATGTAAAAGGATCCATGGTTTACGCGCGTTCTTCCTACTTAAAGGCACGATCGTGAGGCGTCATCGAATTAGGAAACCGCCGCCGTACCACGAGTGTTTCTACACAGTCCACGACTTCAACGTCGGCATTGACCTGCCAATCTATGGCCGCGTCTACAGAGTCGTCTCCTGCGACCAGTTTACTGCGGCCTTTCTGCGCAAGATGGGCGTCCGACTGAACGAACCGGAGCCAATTCCAGAGGATCCATACACAAACTACCGAATAGCCGTAAGTAGGCATGTTTGTTCCCAAGTGGCTAACTGGGTAAATCGACCAATTAGCAAGCGAATATCACGTAATTCTGAGACACCATTGGCCAATAGCTCTCATCTTTTTTTGATCAATGGCAATCAGCCAACAATCTTATAAATTAGCGACCGTAAAAAAGACACCTAGCTTACTATTGACCTCCATTAGAGAAATTAATCTACAACAAGGCAAATTTTTCTCTAGAAACAAATTTCTTTATGGACATGTTGTACGAATTACACTAGAACTTCTCGCCAGACGTCAAAATAAATTGTTTAGTAAAAAGATCGAACGAGAGTTTAGGAGAGTGAATTAACCGATGCAAAATTGGCCAATGGGAATGCCAGAAAAATTTGCGCAAAATTCAACCTCATCGCTTGTTACTACATGAAATCTTAGAAAAATTTCGGTCCTAATAAAGGCAGTCACGAGTCTCACGCGTGTTTTGGCTTCTTATAATTTAGTAAAGATCTTGTTTGTTGTTTATAAATTTTTATTGTGCATTTTAATAAGGGTCAAGTTTCACAACACGTGTCAGTATCGTAGTCCTGCGACAATGAGAACCTTGATGTTAGGGGAAAGACGACAACCTCGATAATACTTGCTACTAATTATTTTTAAGTAGAACATTTAATTAAGTTGCATTTTATTCCACAGGTTGCCGACTCAATGCAACCGCGGAGGCCTCTTGAGCGACTGGACAAGTTGCGACAATTCCTGGACCACGACAGACACGTTCTACGATTCTTCTGTTTCTGGGATGACACTGACAACCCCTTCGGAGACGCGCGCGACTTTGTCCTGTGCTACTTCTTGGGTTAGTAAGCAATGCATTCGCACCATATTTCCATGCAATTTTTGGGTTCTACGTGGGTTCATCTGTTAAAAGCCTGCCTTTTGAAACTTCTCCACAACCACAGCTGACGATACCATCGAGATTCGTGAAGTAATCCCCGCCAACTCCGGTCGTGATGCTGTGCCGTGTTTTCTGAGGCGTCAGAAACTTCCAAAGGGAGTCCAGCCCCTACCACTTCCGGGTACTGTCTCTGACCGCACAATACTGAACACCGTGGGGACTTCTCAAAAAGGCGGAGGTCACCTATTAGACAGCACCAAGGCAAGTGGAAGCTTTACTACTTAAACGCAATCAGTAGCGGATTTTGTGAAAGCTTGCGATGCTTTTTAGTCGAATGCGTCGAAAGGCGATCATTACACCGACCAGGATCTCACCCTTGGTTCCGTTCTCAATGTCTATGGGCGGAAATTTCTCATCTGCGACTGCGATGAATTCACCAAAGAGTACTATAAAACTAAGTATGGCATAAGTAAGTCATCACTCGGTACACCGTAACACGCTTACAATTCTCTGCTAGCAGCAAGCGATATTTAAAATGTCTGCCGGCTAAGGCTTTTTGACGATTTAAACAGCAATTTAAAAAGGTTAAATGCCTTCGCAGCAACTTTCACGCCGGTGGCTCCACCGAAACCGGACTGCGGACACCCGCCTCAAAAGGAGGACCCGCCGTACAACGGTTGGGGCACAGACGAGGACTCGTTGACCAACTGCCGAAGCCTCCTGCCCGTCCCACCGCCGACAGACTTTGCCAAGTTCATGGAGAAGGACGCGTGCGGTCTGGAATCGCATGTCCTGCGATTCGCGGCTCGAATTCTCACCGACGAACCCTACGACAAAGACCGCTGCTTCATCGTCTCCTGTTTTCTTCGCGACGACACCTTCATGGTGTACGAACCACCGGTTAAAAATTCAGGTATATGAGTGAACACCATTCCCCCATTTACAATAAGCCGCGTGATAGTCAACCTGTGAACAATTGCTGTCTTCGACAGCAAAAGAGCCAATCTTCACTCTTGAGCGAGCAGAAGGAATGCGAGCAGCATTTAAGCAGAAATAGCCAATCGTCAGCTTCGAAATCGAAATGACCAATCACCGGGCGTGGGGCCTGACCAATGAGAATGCGAGTTTACGTTTATTAATTCTATGTAGGTTTTAAGGGGGGCAAGTTTATGGAGCGTCGCAAAGTGATGAAGCCGGGCCAGCCAATCTTCCGCACCAAGCTGCCCATCTACTACGCCCCGGTGGACCTGTTTGTCGGCGCTCAGGTGGTCTTCAACAACTTCGTCTTCGAGATCTGCGGCGCTGACGAATACGCCTACGCCTACATGGAGGCGCATCCAGCCGAGTTCCCCTACGCGGACCTGCAGAGCATCCTGAAGAAGCTGCGACCTCTGGTGAAGGGACGCGAGGAGGAGATCAAACGCCTCACCGCCAAGGCCGATCCACATGCCACCGGGAGTGTCGAGTTCGCGCGATTTGAGCAGCTCATTCGAAACATTCTCAAGGACCCTCGAATGGACCCAGTTTGTATTGTGGCGCATGAGGTCGCCACGCTTGCCCGCCACTACGCCGTAAAGTGAGTCGTTCGGACAAGCAGTCTCCAATTTCACCTTAGCTTGAGTATCACTCTGGCATTGGCAATTGTGTAGAGTTCCGAAGGAGACAAATTACATGGCGGTCATAGGTGTGGCCCAGCAACAGCTCCGCAAGGCGGCGTTTGAGGAGTTCCAAGAGCTGCTAGACGCCTGCCGCTACGAGGACATTGAACAGAGCGGCAGCATAGAACAGAGCACCCTCCGACGCATCTGCCGAGCCAATCGCGTTCCACTGCCCGACGATCTTCTACTCACACTCATGGAAATGTAAGACATTCCGAGCATGATTAGGTGGAGGTGAGTGGCTTGGAATGATTAACGTGGACTCTTGTAGATCGCAGAACTTCGACAACGGCCTAGTCTACTACGAGAGCTTCATTAACCAATTGAATTGGCGCTGCAACCCTGTGGCTCCAGGCACGGTGCCCTGCGACTACACCGGCAATCTTGAGGTGGAGTGGTCGTCCTACATTAAAGGGGGCTCCTCCGTCTCCCCCACGAAGGGCTCCTGCCAGCACGCGCTCACCAGCCTCAACCTAGAGAGGGTGCGATACGGTGCAATGATTGCCGACCTCAACGACACCTCCATCTGCACGTGATACAAGCCAATTACCTACCCCGCCTCCGCAAAATCAAAGACGAAATACGCACATCCAGACATCAGCCAATAGGAAACGGCCTGCGTCACGCGGGCTTTACAATAAAAAACTTCAGGCAGCTGCCAGCCAAACGGTTGTTCTGACTCGATGTAACACTGTTAGGCTCTAGGCCGAATGACTCACTGCTTGCGATAAGTAAGCACTACTCACAACTTGTCAGTAGACAATAAAAAATGAATGAGACGTTTATTAGTAAGCAAACGCGTTGCACGGCGTATTGTGAAGAGTACATGAGTTTTCCCTTAATTATCTCTATTACCTCAAAAGCGCAAATGTGTTACAAACAAGATACAAATCAAGGGAAGAGATAGGAACGAAGCGTTTCTTATTAAATGATGCGCGTTTAAATGTGTGGTTTGGTGAACAGATCTTGTCAACCAGGAGAGACGTCAAAAATCAGTGAACGCGTCTGCAGTAACTGACGCCTTTCGTGGTTGGGACGCATTTCTTGCCTAAAAAGGAAACGAAACTTTCTCCACGGATGTCGTCTCTGCCATCAAAAAATTACATCTAATATAACTACTTATTGGTTTTAAGTAGAAAGTAATTTTTCTGGTTGGTTAAAAGTTGAAACTTGAATGGTGATGCATTAGGCGAAACAAAAATATTAAAAACAGCGACAAAAACGCACCACGTCTGCAATCGCTATCCTTCGAGCAAGTTTTCTACAATGGCAAAAAAATAATCATTTTCAAACAATTACTTCGTCAAATTGTTAAAAATCGTTTGAGTTGGCAACATACCCTCTGGAACCTCCCTCGCGATCTGCGTTCTAGGGTTAAAAAAATATAGATTTGCGGAAAGTCCAAACAAACAAGCATTTAGACGGCTGTAAAATACTCGTTAAGTTTATGTAAAAGTAAACCTACCACCACCATCCTTTGAATGCCTGCCGGGTCGCCTGCGTCGTTTCTTTTTACCGCCAGTTTGCTCACTAGAATAAAACACACGTAAAAGTCCAATAAATTATTGATTATCTATACAACGCAAAGGCGAAAGAGACAGTGTTTACTTGATAAAAAATCAATATGTAATTCGATGTAAGATAGGGGTAATACAACTTTCCACCAACTTCACCAACAACACAAAACCTCACCTGCCAGCTGGACTTGTTGACGGTCTGAAAGAGAGTAAAAAGAGCAGGATTAACTCGCAGCATAATTGTTTTACTAAATAGAAAATACTTAGGAATAAATGTGTGCTTTGGATTAGCAAAAATTACATTTTGACTATCCCTTGGCAGAAATAAACATGCACGCATTTTTGCAGCGCGCTAACGCGGTTATATCGACCGCGCTTGCGACCGCGCTTCCTAATTGGCCAGAAACGAGCCAATCAGAGTGAAGCATACAATTTAGCTGGCTAATCACACAGCCATGATCCCTGGAAATTCCCATTCAAAGGAAACAGTTTGGACACTCGAAAAGGCTCCAAAGATGGATCTTTTATGAATTATGGAGAATACTACTTGGCTCTTCGCATTTCTAGGTTTCTGTACAAACATAAAGTCTAACTGAAAAGAACTGAATTCTCGTACAAAGCAAGAACTAACCAATCACATTATGCCGTGCTCTCTCCAACCACTTTATGACTCACTAACCAATAGGAGCATAAAACAACTACACGTGTCAGAGCAAAGTGATAAACCCAATGGAATGGAACTTCAACGAATCGTGAAGCAGCCGGTTTTTGAAAATAAAACAAGGGGCGGCGTGATTTGCAGCCGCAACGACGTCGAAGGAGAGTCGTAAACAGGGAAATAGGGACGTAAAGAACTTACGCTTTTTCCAATTCAGTCGCAGGCTTTGCCTCAGTGAACTCAAAGCAGGCAACGAGAGCAATGACCAACAGGGCTGTTAAAATCCACGTGCGCATCTTCACTGCTAGAAATTAATTTAAAAAAGAACAAATTTGAACTCCGTTCATCAAGCAATTCAACGGCGATTTAAAATGGTTAGGAGGCGACGAGGCATTTAAGACTTGTAACAAAAGGAAGAGGCTGTTGGTAATTCGATATCCATGGACTAACATGATTTAAAGTAAAATCGGTGAATAGAGTGCGCGGGTTTATGTTTATTTTAAACAAAGAGAAATAAACCAAGTGGTTTGGGAGAACACATTAATTGTACCCGAAAATACCACCAGACACAAGGGGACATACCCACGATGGAACACTGTTAACACGTCTGGCTCATGCCGTGGCCTCGCGCAGGCTTTATGCACCACCGTCAATCTCTCTGCTACGTGATGGACCAATGAGAGAACAGCAACAGGTGCGGTGACCAATAGGCGCGAAGGTTCACTACCCTCGCTTCAGTCGTTCGTCGGTTAGCGGCGGCGGCAGGTCGTGTGGGCGTGCTCTTTGGCCGAGAAGCGATCGTGCGTTAACCATGGTTTTTGAGCATCCTTAATAAAAATTGCTAATTTGTTAACCTAAACAGTGTTGCTCTTTACAAGTGGCTTTCTGTTCCGGCAAAAGGAATAAGCATCGGTGTGATTTTAGCCACCATATGTGCGCTTTGCTATCGCCTAAATGTTCGCTTCATTGCGTAGGAGGGAGGCGTCACTATCGCATAATTTGTAAACGAACACCTACACAGTTCACACCTGTCTGGAATTCGTACGAATTTAGAAAAAATTACCCGATTGGTGTCAGTGAGTGTGTTAGAAATGCACAGACAGCCAAGAAGACGAGATGTACTAGACAGGTCAAGTGAAATGCTTTGCTGATCATTGGAGTCTGGGTGACGGATGCAGCGGGCAGAGAGGGGGTTGGAGGCGGTGCGCGCACGGGTTTCGCATGACCGCCAACGACGACGTGGAATGTGGGCCAGTGTGATGGAGAATGTGACAACTGGGTTAATTGATGTGGTCCAGCGCGATTCCCTACAGTCACACACACTCACACACACACACACACCAGAACTGGAGATTTAAACATGTTCAGCGATTTGGGACGACGTCATTCGGCAATTATCGGTAGGACCGGTCATTGCAGGAAAATGTGTGGGCTTAATTGCTCGCCTTCCCCCCTGCCCCACCACACCCACCCCGCAGATTTATTGCCGACATAAATCACTTTTGCTCGGAAAAAATTTGGAAAGCTAAATTTTTTCGACTGGCATTGGCGAATTTTCTGCTGATTTAAAATGTAATCACGTATTCAGTGTGAGAGGCATTTTGGGAAACTTAAACGAGATTGTGGTCGTCTTAGTAATCTGACTCTTAATTGATTTTTTTGCAGATTAGATCGATGCTAGTGGCTAGCACAACGCCAAAGTGAGATGTATTCCAAACGTTCTCAAAGATTTCCAGAGGGCACGAGCCAATTGTTTTGAGTTTGAATATTGACGTATTACGTTATAAGGGCAATTCAAAATCGATTGTAATTGATCCGCTATGCGTGATTGCGATTGGATGAAATGGATGATGGATGGTACAGGTGACCTCTGGGTACTGGAGCTTGAGGTTGAGAGAGATAAACACCGCGCTGTTCACGTTAGGAGACCAATCGCATAATATCCGATTGTTGGAGCCTAAAAACCATCTTCTAACTGTCCCACGTGCAATCTAACCAACAATGCAATTAAGCTACAAAAACCTAGCCAGCAAGTGAGCCGAATTTCTTAGAAGAGGTGGTCGAGTTGGTTGATTCCTTGGCATACATAGTGAATGGTTGTTACGTTGTTAATCAATCAAAGAAATGTTAGTTCGAGCGCTCAGTAATTTGATTGGCAGCCTGAAATTGGTATGAGTTATACTTTAGCGACAAGTCTCTGATAATCAATGAAATTCAATCGATTTTGCTTAAGCAGCTCCTCATATCCCCATGCCATGAGTTCAAACGAAAAACCGTTAAACATACAAAACTTGGTCATGAATTTCGCCACACAATGCCAATCATGGTCGCCTTGTAAGTTATTGGTCAATCATTCAGCCAATTATATTGCTTCACGCCATTACCCTATTAGGTACGCGTGCGCACGCACTCCACAGTTATACACTCTGCCGGATCAGTAAATTGCCAGTAGTACTCACCTCCTTCTGTGATTCTGATTAGATTCAGTTAGTGGCATCTGCGTGATTCATATGCATCGTGAAAATCATCCAAATTTTATGAAAAGCCATTTCAAAGAAATTGAATAAATTTGTGTAAATGTTCCTCGAAATAGGACAAAATTTAGTAGCGAAAGTATACTGTTCTCTTAAGAACAGAAAGGAATCTAGGTCGCAGAGAGATGTGTACAATCATGCTGCTAAAATCAACCAATCACGAGGATTGATTTCAGATAGTCGGCGGTTTAGTGAGGGCTGGGGAGCCCAAGACAGCCCAAACCGACGCACACCTATCCAAGAAAAAAATAGAAAAATACAAAATAACGGATCAATACAGAAAGGCAACAGGTGGTGCCGTAGTCATTACGTTATCGTTGAGTTTTTTTTTAACAAGCTGCATTTTGAAACGCTACGTGTTTCGGTGGCGTAGGCCCTTCATGTAAACATTTATTCGCTGTTCGCGCAAACCATCGTGCACCAGATGCTGGCTGTTTATATGGGCTCTCAATTGACGTCAAAAAAGCGGTTTTTTCCATGATCAGATATCCTGTCTGAAAAATGCTGCGATTTCGTCAATTCAACCATAATCACGTCATTAAAAGCTGGTTTTCTGCGGACACGGGAGGTGTTATTTGCACACCTTCCTCGATAGCCTGTTACCGTGTGCATACTACTGTCTTTGACGGATTTGAGTAGTATGGCTGGAATTCGAGCAGTCATCAATTAAGGAGTTTCGGGGATTTACAATTTGATTGCCTAATCTACGAGCCATCGAAGCTGCCTCAGCCGGATGGGTTGAACCAATCAAGTGCAACCAATCAATGAATTAGGGTGACATGTGCGCACGCAAGCGCGTGCACGATGTCCACATGGCGGACAATCTG